GGTGAAGGAAAACTGCAGCTCTTCACCTTTGGTAGAGAGACATTAAAGAGTTCTCATTTGACGGCAAGTCATGATGGAATCACAATAAAATGATGTGGATTGCAATATACAGAAAGTAGATTCCTTTTGTAGCTGCAGCATGTTTGAAAAAAAATTAAATGTAAGGCTCCGGCATTTCTCTGAGATGAGAACTTTCCAGGAGGATAACCATCTCTGCAGAAAATTACTGATCGGATCTGCATGAGACGATGGCCAGACGAAAACCATTCCTTTACAAAAGGAACATGTATAGCAACCCGTCTGGAGTTCACCAAACGGCACCAGAATGATTCTCAGACCGTGAGAAACAAGATTCTCTGGTATGATTGAACTCTTTGGTGTTTAGTCAATATGTTTAAAAGAAACCAAGTACGACTCATCACCGATCCTGCAGGAAAGCATAGCGGTGATAGAATCACATTATGGAGTTTATATGCAGCAGAATGAACTGGCTGCAGAAGGAAACTTTTATAGAAAATATGTTTTTACACATTTGTTAAAAATATGACAGAATAATGTGAGACTGATGTCCTGTGACCAAAACTTGAGCTCCTTTGCCTTCTCCCTGTGATCCTTCAGCCATCTAGAGAAACACACATCTTGGTCAGAAACAACCCATCAGAGCCAGGAAGTGGATCTTAGTGCTGCCAATCAATATTATGTATGTGCTGCTCACATGCCTCCTCTAACTTTCTACTACACTATTGCTACTTCCCCACATCAGAACTTCACGTGAATGAGCAAGCTAGTTAGCATGATGGTAAAGATCTGTAGCTTCTCTGCCATTAGCACAGCTGCAGTACTTACACAGGGGTGATTGGCAGTGCTAAGACCTTAGAAAACAGAGATGAGGGAAAGGAGCCTAATTTTTCACAGATTATCTGTGTTTATAATTAATTGTATCGATTGTACTGTTACTTCTTGTTTTTGAAGAAATTAAAGTTGTCTAGAAGGGAATATTTAGTGTTAATTATTGTGCTAATTGTGGAGTCCTGAGCAGCTCACGATCTGCCAATTAACCCAACTAATCAATATGGGCATGTCTGTTTACTCCTTTGTGTGATTTAATATTATAACCTGATAAATTGTTCATGCTTAATGTTGGGTTAATGGATATTTTGCGTTGTTTCACACAGTTTTTTGATATTTCAGGTGGCAGTGCTCTGATACAGGAATGTATCTTTTAACAGACCTTAAAACCTAAAATAAGACTCCCCACCTAATCTTGACGTCTTCCTGTGTTATTCTGTAAGATGCTAATCAAACAAAGTAGACAACACACAATCTTTGAGAAAAAAATCTGAACTGTCTTTAAACTTTATCAACAGGCTTGTCTTCTACTGTTCCTCTCTACCGATACATCACGGCTGCTGTGAAAGTAGTAAAAACAATCTCATATTGTGTGAGAACAGCACTTGTTGACCATCCCGCTGACCTGTCAAGCTGAAAGATTGCCCCACTACCTGTTAGGCTGTCTGGGACTCCGAGGGGAATCCATACGCAATACGAGTGCAACAAATGTGATAGTGAGTGAGGTACTGAGAAAAGGTGACATCCAAGCAACATACGAGCGGCGAATTCACGTCATATTGTTCAGACGTCCAGAGGGCAACTGACAATATCTATGATGCATTGCAGGACCTCCAGCTCTGTAGCTCATAGTCAATTGTCTTTTGGTTAGATGAAACCGTATGTTGTGGATAAACAGCCAGCAGCGCTCTTTCCCCCATCACTGCGCTCCAAGAGGAGAGTCACTTTGATTGCCACGGGAGATTTTTAAAAAAAATCTTCATCAATAATGTAAATATGTCATTAATGACTTCACTATTTCCTTTAGATCTCCCCTCCCACACCTCCACACGGCTGTTGTCCCTTCATTTCAACCGCACCTTCAGCACCGTTACATGCAGGAGGAAAACAAATGCAGCAAAAGGAAGCCATTGATAAAGCAGTCGTTAACCTTTTCAGTAAAATTACGGATGCGGATTCACTTCCTGTTTCGCTGTTGGTGTGAATCTCCAAGGGCTGCAGCCAGTTATTTCTGCAACATAATTCCACCTGGCTGTTATCAAAGTTTGCTTTACTCAAATATTTACACTCATTTGCATTTCCAATGAGTGCACATTCACAAATGCAACTGTAATTGGATGCGTGATTGCAAAAAAAATGATGGGTTTAGTTTGAACTCATAATTGTTTGATGGTGTTTTTAGTGTCAATTTTGTCAGTTTCAATATTTATTTATTTCAAAAACATTGAAATGTCTTCTCCATATTTAAATGAGTACTAAGCGTAATTTTCCTGAAAATTATTATTAAAAAAAATGATGCCTTTCCAGCAGCGTGTACTGAACTCAGTTAATCTTGTTGTGCAAAGTGGCACACAATGAATGATTCCAAGATATATGATGTACTTTTCATTTCGGATTTGCCAAGGTGTTTTAGATTCTCAACAATCAAGGAAATACACACAACTTTCCTTCAAAATATTTTGCCTGTCATTTATTATATCAAATAGTAGACTCTTTTCATCAGGATTTAAAAATAGCAGCGATCAAACAACTACTGTGGAAATACAGGTTGATCTCCAACCTTCCCTTCATAAACAAAATGATTTCAAATGTAGTGTTTGAACAATTAACAAAGTCAATGATCTAGGATGTGTCCTCACTAAGCTAGGAAAATAGAGCACATCGCCCCAGTTCTAAAATCTAAAGTTCTTCTACTAGAATATAATACTTATTTTGTAATCACTTTATAAAGAACTGTTGTTGCATCAGCCATCCAGACCACTCAGGTTTTCTGGCTCTCACACCTGCTCTGCATCACCAGAGACAGATTTTTTTTTTTATAATCTGTTATTATGTCGTGCTCATGTAAAGCTCATTGACTTTGGACGGATGGACGGACAGACGGAGATGGAGTCAAAATGTACGTCTGCAGGTACCATTAGCTGCACAGTGATTCACTACGCCCTGACTAGGTTGTCTGTTCATCACAGGACCAACATGCAGAGATACCCAACCAGGCATTCACAAACTCACTCCCAATTCAGAGGTCAAACAACGAAACATACACATGTTTTGGATTACACGTCGAAACCAAAGCACTCAGAGAGAGCTGACACGTTCACCAGGAAAACATGCAAACTCTGATGATAAACATCACAAGCAGGATTCAGACTTCAAACTTCCTGCTGCAAGGCAACAAGTGCTAATAAATAAATGTGGCTTTGTGCAGCCCGCAGTCTACCAGTTATTTAGAATGTAATTTGGTTGCTGAAGCATTACAATAAGTGGCATCATCATCTGCTGTTTAAAATTTAAAACCGCTTTGTGTCTTGTCTGTAATGAAAGACTTGCATAAATTAGACTGCATGGTGTAATTGGCAGGTAACAGTATAGACAATAGGAAAGCTGAAAGGAAAACGCATTTCGTTTCAATCTGAGGGCCAACATTCCACAATGTTTTCACTTAAAGGTCTGGCATGATGCTTATGTTGTCGCCACAGGGGAAAGGTATGAAAAAATAAAAGTTTTAACTGTTACATTAAATATTTTTTCAATTATGTTTCTCAAGGCAGGTAGTAAGATCAGTTAAATCAGTTCTATGACAGTAAGATTGTCACTTGTACTAAGAACAACAACAACAAAAAATTACTGCTTCTTCTAAAAACGAAAAGCAAACCTGCAGAGTCTGGATATGTATTATCAAATATAGTTTTAAGTAACTCCTGAGTTTACTTTCACATCATGAATCATTTCTTAATATTATGTGCCTGGTTTGCAGCTTTTCAAGCACAGTTTCAGATGAAACCCAAACCTCGTTGCTAAAACAAACCCAGTGGTGAAGGTTTTCGAATTTCCCTTGCATCTGAATGGAAATGTATTGTCTCCCGACATGAATAGAATATAAAAGCAATCAGTGGACAGAAATGAAAATCTCTCATATTAATACATAAGGATACAGAATGACTAACAGCTACTATTAAAGAAAATAAAAGACGCTTCTAGGGTACTATAATAAATAGAGATGCATCTATTGAGATTCTCTCAACTAATTCCAATTTACTGAGGATGACTTAAGATTGAACTACTGTATTTTTTTTTGTGCCAACCCATCAGTCCATACGATTCACCTAACTTTTTTCCCCCCTTTTTGTTGTATTAAAAACTAAAAACAAAAAATCTGAACCAGTATACGCAGCCAACATTGGTATGTGGCCCTATAATGAAATTCTCAGGCTGAATAGATGTTGGCATAAAAAGAAACATAGATTTCTATTACTTATCCAACGGACTAATCAGAGGAGAAAAGACATGAATGCTGCATTAGGTGAGCCCTCATTCTGCTGCTCAGTGTCCACTGAGTGGACAACAAATAACAAATAGAAACTCCTTCAATGTTCAATTAACATATTCTTTCTTCCTTTTTTGCACCTTATGGACAGAGAGCTATACTGTGTGGAAAAACCCCAGAGAACATGCAGCTGATATGTAACTCAAGGTCAGCCTATTTGCAACCTTGTGTGGCACTAGATCTATTGGTTAACAAATTAATATGTTGAAAAATGATAGGTCATACTTTTCCAGCATTTAATGAACAAACAAAGAAAGTTTATTTCCGGTCTGCTAATCAATGACCAAAGTCAAATTAAACAAAGTTGGTCAATTCCATATCTGATTTGATTGACAAGTGCATCTCTAGCTCTGGTGATGCTTCTTGAGAAAAAAGAAAACATATTGGGGAACTAATTTGAAGAAGCCAAATTCTTCTAAAAAGTCAAAGATCTAGAGGATGTTGGATAACATGTAAACCCACTTTCGTTCAACGCCTTATATGTCCCTACATGTGGTTGCTGGTTGCTCCTAAGCCCATTCCCGTTACCTTACCAACACGTTTCATTATTTCATGTCCAGGGGTGTGGAGGGGCGAAGTGAGCCCAACCATCAAGGAGAAAGCTTGACGTGACGTAAGACCCGTTACCCTTCCCACGCTCCAGCTGCTGATTGGCTTTACGTAGGTTTCTGGCTGATATTTAATACAGCAAAGCGCTGATGTCTCATTTATCAAGACTGGATCTTAGCGCATATCCGCTCCACTCCGCACCAGGGCGCACGCAGCTGACGCAGTCAACAAATCTGTCAGAGGAAAAAAAAAAACAGGTAAATATATATTTCTGAATGTTTGAAGTGTTTCTTGATAAAGTACAATTTAGATTTGCAGTCTGCTTTATGCTGTTTTATGTTGTTGTTTTTTATTACGTTAAAAATAAGCAAACCTGGATGAATCATGTCCATGTCAGTTAAACCTTTGCGCTTCTTTACACAGTAGTTATTCTTTTTTTTTTTTTTTTTTTTTTGATCGCAACAATCAGACGTGTTCTTTCACTACTGTTAATAATAAACAAACAAAAGAGTGACTGTGAATATTTTTCGGACAGTTGCTGCTCAGAAAATGAAACGAGGCTTGCTGCTGGTGACTTTGTTCCTCATCATGAAACTTCACTTCAGTCAATCCAGACGCGAAGAAACCGGATCGCGCGCAGCCTCCTCAGACGTAGGTTTCCCCGAAGCTCGATTTTCACTGATGATTTTATTATTATTGTTGTTTTCCCCCTCCTCTCAGGGAAACTGACTATTTTCATTCCTTTATCTTCAGCAGACTGTAAGACTGGAAGACCTGCAGCGGAACATACTGAGGAGACAGTCAGAGCCGGATCCGGACAGCTTTTACGGGATGCTGGGCAAAAGAAACTCTGGTTAGTCCGCTGTTGAATGTATCTGCTAATTTAAATTTGTATGCATTTTATGCTTTATTGCGTTGTCTGCAGAATGTCAATACCTATAGAGAAAATGGTAATGATATTTTTCGTTTTTTTTGGAAAACTTTTGTCACTGGAAGACCTGAAGCAGAGCATCCTAAGGAGAGTGGCAGAGCCGGATCCTGACAGCTTTTACGGGATGCTGGGCAAAAGAGATGCTGGTTAGTCTGTTGTGAATATGTCTGCTGGCTTTACTTATGTGTTCTCTGTTTTATTAGTTTGTTTATATAATATCATCAAATGAAGATGCAATGGTAAAAATCAAATAGTGCATTTTTTTGTTTTTGGAAAACTTTTGCAACTGGAAGACCTGAAGCAGAGCATCCTAAGGAGACTGGCAGAGCCGGATCCTGACAGCTTTTACGGGATGCTGGGCAAAAGAGATGCTGGTTAGTCTGTTGTGAATATTTGCTGGCGTTATTTATGTATTCAGTTGTACTGGTCAATTTCTTTTTGGAAAATGTCATTGACAGAGCCTGAGCTTTTCTGGTTTTTGTGTTGACGGCACAAGAAATACTGGCTAGACTGCTGTTAATATGTCTGCTGATTTTATTTGTATCTTCTTTTTTTTCACTATTTTTTTATAATAACAACTGAAGATAAAATGGTAAAATTGGTAAATCAAATTGTAAACTGTGAAGGTTTGCTTTTTTTGTTGTTTTTTTGTTTTTTGGAAGAATTGGTTACCTGATTTTGTATTTCCTCTTTGGCTTTCAGATGAAGATTCGAAAACAGCAGAAAAAAGTGAGATTCATCGTAACTCCAACCTTTTAATAAAATGAGTGTGTTTGTGGAATAAAAACATGAATTTGTTTTCTCTTTACTAGGGGAAACGGATGAGCTGTTTTTTGGTCTTATGGGAAAAAGAAGCTCAGACTCTGGTGAGTGTTAAAGATCTCAGGAGTACAATAGGTGCTGTTCTGATATTTTTATTGGCCACCTAAATTCCTCTTTCCAGTTCTAGTATGTAGACAAAGTGACACTTGTAATCTGTGCTTCTATAATGAACCTCTTTGTCCTCTTTGCTCTCTTAGATAATAGTCCCTGGAGAAGAGAGTATCCAGAACGGAGAGGAATTTTTCTCAACAAGTTCAGACTGAGGCAAGTTCTCGAGAAATTCAGACAGCATATATGTGCACATATATGTACACTCATAGTTGGCTGATTTATAATTTCTGCATTTGATATCTTTGTTTTTGTTTTTTGTTTTTTTTGTTTGCTTGTCTTTCTCAGGTCACTTCAGGGGCTGTAGGCACATTTTTCAGTTTGGCTTCGATTGAAAATCGCAGAGGAGCACAAACGGCCAACGAGTCTGACGGAAAAGCAGCCAAGCAGCTGGTTGATGAAAGTAACCATAAGCCAAGCAGATTGTAACTGTTTTACCTGAAAGACAAAGAATAATTACAAGCAGTGGCGGCTCCAGAGATTTTTTTTTTCTGCAGGCGCTTACGGGGGCTAAGCTTTTTTTAACAAAGGGTGCTGCAAAGGATCATTTTGTTCTTAAAATTCCCACACACAGAAGCAAACACAAACAGAGGCACACTCAAATCTCAGACATCTTAAACAGTGACCAATAAAGTGGATAGTGAATATGTAATAATCTACTATTTAAAGATGCAGTATGTAACTTTTACAAAAAAAATTATATATATATTTGTTGAAATTCTCAATATGTCATGACAGTATGGTATGAGATAGATAATCTGTGAAAAAAATCAAGCTCCTCTGCCTTTTCCCAGTGCTCCCAGTGCTATTCAGAGACAATCAATAAAAGCCAGGAGGAGGGTCTTAATGCTGTCAATCACCATCTCCCATGGAGCTGCTCATCTCATGGAAATGCATCGATGAGTGAACTCCTTCTTGTTGTTACTGCAACTGCTTCCAGATATCAGAGCCTGTTGTAAATGTTTATGCTAGCTAGCATAGCCACTAATGATAGCAGACACACAATTTGCTTGTAGCGGTAAGTTGTTTCTTCACCATTCAGAACATTGAGAAGCAAGTACATAAAGTCAACAGAGCTGAGACCCTCCTTGTTGCTCTCATTGGCTGTTTTTGGTCAGGAGCTACAGACAGCAATAGTAGCTCAGGGAGAAGGTGGAAGGGATTGTTCTTTTCAGATCATGTCATTTTAAACTGTCACAACATGCTGATAGTTTTAACAAATATGCAAAATACACATTTTTTATTAAGCTTACATGCTGCAGCTTTAATTAAACCATGCATGACAATACTGCTGAGAACATGCCATGGTATCTTAACAGTCTAGATCAATAAGTATTGATTTTTTTTGTTTTTTTTTTATTTTAAATATCTAAAATACTGCCAAACTGTTAATGTGACCTTCCCTGTTTTCTCCACAGTTTCCTCTTGAGCTGTTGATCCCATCTTTGGAAACTTGGGCAGTAGAAAACAATCCATTTTTGAATCTCTTGCTCCTTTCAGTTGTTTACTGGGAGTGAACATAGCCGTACAAGTTCATTTTCTGTTGCAAGACGGGATTTATTTAATTTTTTTACTCAATATAATTATTGGTAGTTGTGTTTTATGAGGAAAATATCACAACTATACTAAAGAATAGTGACATAGATGAAGAAGAAAAAATGCAATCTGATATTTCCTTGGGGGTGCTATGACTTCTCCAGGGGGAGCTATAGCACCCCTATGGGCCCCCCTGGCGCCGCCACTGATCACAAGTCATATTTTCAGTTTTTATTGTTCTCTCTTTTATTGTTCAAAGTTGAAAATAAACATAAATTTCACATGTTTTCTAGAGGGCTGTCAACATTAACCTGATAACACATGCGATTGATCTAAAACAAAAACTGTTACAATAATAATCTCAAAAACACAGATTAATGATGCTGACCTAAAAGCGTCTCTCTCACAGAGAGGGTTACCTTGTTCACAGCAGCGCGGAGCAAAGGTCGATGTTTTCTGCAATACCAAACAGCAGCAAAGGTTGAACTTTGTTCAACTTTCTTGTGTCGCATTGCTTCACCACTCACGTGTGCACACCTCGAAATTTCACATGCACATTTCTAAATTACCGCTTACAACAAAATGACTTAAACCTCCCTGAATACCAAAACCTGGAAAACTGAGACTCTTCAGGCGTGTTTGGTTTGATATAATGAGACATTGACTTTCTTTTAATACACACATACAGTGGCGCTTTTTGATATGGAAGCCAAGAAACTAGAAAATAAAATATATGCTATCTCCCAGTTGTCCCCTAAATATATTTGCTGCAACTTGTTTGCATGTGTAGTGAGGTAAGTTAGTTGCTGTTAAGTGCTGGAAGAAACTACATAAAAAAAACCCTGAGAAAATTGCTTGGATTTTAATTGGTTGGAGATCCACAACTGCATGCAAAATGTGCTTCAGGTTTACAATGTTCAATCATTCTAATGCTGGTTAATCACAACATTAGAGTGCAATTAATCTGATTACATTTTTAATCCATTGGCAGTACTACTTTTTCTTTAATTATTTAATAATGGTGAATCTTTCTGCAGGTTTTTGTTTTGGAAATTCAAACAATATGACATCACATGATGGGATTCACAGAAAATGTGTAATTATGTTTATCACCACTCTGAAACAGAACAGCTTGCTTTTAAATGCACATTAGGACTTTAGAGCTTTGCATCAGAGTCAAAAAGCCTCTCTACAGCACAGTTGCTGCTGTATCAAACATTATCGCTCAGCACATGTTAAATATTTACCTGCTAATGAAAACAAACTAAAATTTAAGTCAGAAAGATGACCAGGATCTCACAATATTTCAAAGTTTATTTGTGCATGTGGTTTAAAAGGTTAAAATAGTGCAATAAGTTGAGCATCAATTAAAATCAGTGTCAATAAAAATCCTGGGTACTTCACAGTTTCATAATGTACTGCTTATCTATTTATTTTAATAAGAAAAATGTAATAAAAGTAATGATGACATAAGTGAAAATGTTTCTGCGTCACTACAAAAATCGCTGATTGGGTCACACACCCAGGCGCAGTCAAACATGATTAGGCAAAAAGCATGTTTTTACATTAGGTAGAAATATACCCAGGCAATACGCAGCTGCCACTGAGCCACAATTAATTTGTCTCCACTCCCACTGGGAGCGCTGTCTGAGAAATACTGGGAAATATTCTGAGATTATATCCATGGGGGTATTATAATATTACCGTGGCCAATATACTTCACAGAGCAGCAAACCTTTTGAGTTCAAAAAATCTCCATCCTGCCTTTGATCACCTTGTCATGGTGTGGAAGAAGCTGCAACCAGATCTGATAAACAGCACTTGAAGATTCATCAGCAGCATCTGTAATCAGTGATGGCTGCCTTGTGTGCTTACAGTCTTATTTATGGGTAAATTAAAATCGCCATCTTCTTTCCTGCCCCTCTCTGCTAGTGTCTGTTCTATGGTTTGGTTTCTGTTGACAAGCAGAGCAGGGGCTGTGCTATTGGTTGTGTCCTTCACCTCCTGAGACACTTTAACGCCCACAGCAGCGGCCATCTTCGTCTGCGGGTGCAGTCTCGGCCTGCGGTGCACGGAGGGCAGGTAGCGTGGTACGTAGCCATAAGCTCTCAGGTGGTAGGTGTAATACTCCAGAGTATACATCAGCTGTGCTTCCACATAATGGAATGACACAGCCAGGTCCGAGCAGCACTGTGGACCCTGAAAAAACACAGAAAGAAAAACGCATATCAAACATATAGAATACAAAAGAAACATGATGCTTAGCATTTTGATATCAGCCAACCTCACACGAGAACAGCAATTTATGAGCAAGATGCATAAGTGAGCAATGACGTTCTCCGATTAGGAAAACTTTGGTATGCTGCTCTAACATAGGCTTACAATTATTGCATGAAATTAATTTTCTGTGGGGTTTATGTTCATGCTACTGCACTTTTAGTTTGACAAAAACAGAAAAATTGATTCACATGACTGAACAGCTTGTTCTTTTCCATTCGTCAAAAACAAATCTGACTTTTCACTGAAAATAATTGGGAGTGAAACCTAGACCAAGAATGTCAGCCTATAATCAAATGAATTCATGAAGTCTTTCTGTTTCTACATGCAGTCTCTCATCCGCATGGCTTCTTCACCCGAAATGCCCTTTTCTAATAAGGCTAATCCACTCAGAGGATGTCTGCCTAATGAGAACTATCAGTAATTGGCTTTCATGTTGATTAGTTATACTAAGAGTTACAGCCACAGTTCCACTTTACTGGGCTGAACCCTAGTGCCGAATATAGCACATGAAGGGACTTACCTCAACAATCGGGTAGAAACAATAACTCCAGTACCAGAAGCTCTTGGAAAACTTTGTGGTGAGATGGTGCTCCGGCACAAACGGGTGAAACGTTTCCCGATGCAACGTGTCTCTGGAGTCCCCTGCCAGAACGCCCATCTTCTCCAAACACTGACCCAAGGCCAGATCTTCAACAGGGGTGGTGTGTGTGCAAGCCTTGGTCCGGAAACCTTCGACAAATCTTCTAAGGGCCTCCTTGCTGAGCACGTACCCCGCACCTCCACTCATATAACCCTGTTTGGTGTACGGCTTAAAGCGTTTACCAAAATAGATGGGCTCTTCAGGAGTGTGGTTGGACAGAAGCCAACGCAGGTTATCGACCACCACAAAGGTGTCATCATCAGCTTTAAGGAACCAGTCTGCTTCATTCACGTGATGCTTGTAGACATACTGGAAGGCTCGGATGGTTTTCCAGTAGAGCTGGTCGCGGCCCTCTTTGGTGCCCAGCCCCACAGTGGGAAAGGAGGGATCTTCCACGGAACTCATGAACACCACAATGTTGCAGCGCCGACTCCAGGTGGCTCGGACATGGCTGGCCCTGCTCTGGAGGTTATATGGTCTTGTCATTACCCAGCAGAGAATGCGAACCCTCTGAAACAGCATGTCTGCCACCTTGCTGTCTTCATCTAGATACAGAGAACGGGACACCAGAGTTACAATCTGCTTAGGAACATTCTTTATTGTTTTGATAAAGAATGTTCAGAGAAATGCACATTTGTCTTTTGATATTTTACTTTGAAAATCAGAGTAAGTCTCAGAAATCAGCATGTGAAAAGGAAGAAAGAAGTGAAACATAAAACATACATACTTAAAGATTACTCGTTTTAAAGGAGTTTGTTTTGTCTGTACAGTTAAACTACCAAGTACTTCCTTATGTAGACAGTCTTGGTAACTAAAAATGCAACAGAAAAGAACCACATTGGCCATTTAGCGTTTAAATATACCACAACATGCATGCACAGCACCAGCTTGGTGAGGGTGGAGCAGGTTGATGAGCGCCCCTCCTTCTCTCCTCCAAATGCTTGGCCGCTCCGCTGCTGCTGTGGCTGTCTCCTGAGCCTCAGAGAGCACAGGGTAGCTTTGCTCAAACCACACCTGATGCAGGAAGAAGTACATGCTGCAGGTTCCCACCACGAAGCCCAGTGAGAAGGCCCATTTGGAGCTGGGACCCTTCATGGTAAAAATCTCTCCTGTTCTGCAAAGTCCCAACTTATAGCTTGCCTGCATGGACCAAAAGCACACTTTAATCAGATTGATAAGCATCTCATTATTTCAGCAGTATTAAAAACAAATCTCTATTCCATAAAGAGTTCAATGGACAATAAGATATGGTGACGCGTCTTTAGAGCGTTCTGTAGTTTTGCACCAGATCACTCAGCCTCCTTAGTGATCCAAACACCAGGATGCCTTTGGTTGGAACTCTGGGTAGAACTATGAAATAAGTTTAGTTGTTTATCAAGCCATGTTCAGGTGCAGCTCAGGATTTAAAAATAAAGTTAGCTTTTTGTCTTGGTCTGACACAACTGTACCTTACGTTGGACCCCTAAGCTCTAGAGAATAAAATTAAAATAAACATGAAAAGGTCATTGGTGTGTAAGCAATGTCTCATTGTCCCAAGGTATAGTAGCAATGGATGACTATTTCTTTAGGTCAAACAGACAAACAATAAAGACAAAGAAAAGAAAGTGAAAACAAATAATGAGTGCAATTTTATGTCATTTGTTAAAAAAAAAAAACATGTAGAAGATAACAGATATTATAATTCCCTGCCCTTCTTCTCATACTCACCAACTTACAAACATTTAAATCTACCCACACCTGATAAACTCTTAAATTGTGTCCACAAATTGCCCCTTTAGAAAGTGCTGAATTACTTTACTGGAGTCCTCTTGATCTGCAGTGGTCACAATGACTATCCATGGAAAAAAAAATTACAATCTAGCAAAAGCAATTGGCTATGTGCAGAAAAAAAGTGCAATTGGCCTTATGACTTATAAAACATGCAAGAGTGTCTTCACCTTTAACAAAACTACTTTAACTTGTAGTACCAATCACTTATTCCATTTTACTGTTTTTTTATTTATTTTTATTACAGTTACATTTATATCACAGAACTAACAGTAAAGCAACAATTCATCCCAAATGTCAAATCCCATCTGCACTTACACAATAGTTATAAGAAGCTTAAAAGTTTCTGCTGCAAGCATCTTACTGTCATTTATGCTTCACCTTCAGGGATCCAGTGAAGTTTTGTGTCTTAAGGACTCTTGACCTGATCGGTGTAAAACTACATATTGCCCTCTGAAAGAGACTCATTTACAAAGGAATTTAAAAAAAAAATCTTTGCACATTGCAAATGAAAAAAGTGTTTTAAGCAGGGGTGCTCAAACTTTTTGAGACCAATATCTACTTTTTCTCTCACCAGCCGGCTGAGATCTATCTCATGGCATGAAGACATACAAATTATAAATTAAACCCTATTGACTAATTTTCTATGCAAATATACATCGGTTATATCAGAAATGATAAAGTGATAGAAAACCTAATGCAGTTTCTTCCTCAGTGAGATTCTGACACTGGGAGCAGGTTACTGGTTTCTAAGTCAGAAGCTGGTTGCAAACCTGAGGCCAGCAGGTGCCAGTCAGTTATGGTAGATCTGAAATTTGGTTTGATGACGTCACTATGCGAAACTGCAGACTGATAGGAGGAACCAAAGAGCTCTGCAGCGGTAAAGGCAAATCTTCTGAATTTGGGATATAATTAATGTAATTTCACATAATTATTGTGGTAGAAGTCATTTGTTTGTTAAATATATGTTTGTTAATCAAATATATGTGTCCTATTTGATGTTGGTTGTGACGTTTACCGCAAACGAACGAGGTAATTAGTCCAAGTCTGTCGTTTATTGAACGTTCAGAAACTCCAGCGGCTGTGATGAACCACAGCGAAGGAAAACAAAGGTAGAATAACCCGAACAGGTGATCAACTCAGAACCACTCGCACTTTTTAACACTTTTTCTCTCTTTATCGTTAAGCACACCCATTGCCGAAGCAACCGCCTGCGCCCCGCTAGCCGAGCAAAGATTACGTTAAAAACGTTCAGTCCGTTACGATATCAAGTTTCCAGGCTTTATTTTTTTTTAAATGACGCTACAAACGTTTTGGATCTTAGTGAATATTTTGAAAAGTTTGTCAGAGGAGGAAGTGCTGCTCTCAGCGTCCTGGAGGTCTTCAGTTTGTCACCTTCTTCTTCTTCCTCTTATTTAAGTTTTAACGGCAGCTTGCATCCATTTTTGTTGCACTACTGCCATCTATTGGATCCTAATCATCTCGCAAATTCTCAAAATAATCCCACTGTTTTTTAAAAAACAAAAAATGTTCTTCCTCCCCTCATTACTATTTAACTGATCAACCACTTTTCCCCAGTACTGCCTAATTCCAATATTAATAATTTTCTTTCATTTTCATATGTTCTACAACTAATAAAAACATGTTCCATTGTTTCTACAGAATCACACCAACTACATAAACCAGTAGGATGTTTCCCCATCTTATAAAGAGTTCCATTTAATAAACTATGCCCGGTTCTTATTCGAGTTATAATTACCTCTACCTTTCTATTTAATCCTCAAACCCTTTCTACATCAACTGTATTTTGAAACCTGTATAAATGCCTTCCATTAATTTCATTATCCCATCTAATTTTTCATATCTTTTTACTTTCTCTCCAAGCTATACTTTTCCCCTCTGATTTCGATAGCTTTACTAACATATCAATTCCTTCTTTTTTACTAGCCTCCTTAGCCAATCTATCTGCTCTTTCATTGCCCAAAATACCTACATGAGCAGGAGTCCAAAATAATATTACAATTTTATTTTGTTCACATATTCTATGATGAACAGCCATAACCTCATATAATATATTTTGATGATTACTTGAACATCCCTTTTCAATACTCATCAATGCTGATAATGAATCACAACAAATTATAAATTTATTTCCTTTACTATCCTCCACCCATTCTAAAGCTAATAATATAGCACACAATTCTACTGCATAGATACTCAAGTAATCAGATGTTCTTTTTGAAATCTTTATTTTTAACTCTAGAATCACTACTACTATACTAGTTACTTCGTTTTTAGGATCTTTTGAACCATCAGTATAAATCTGTACATAATCATTATATTTATTTTGTATTTGATGATAAAACTCTTGGCACATATCTATCATCTTTTTCCCCTGAATATCTAATAGTGACTTGTCTAGATTAATACATTTCAATGACCATGCTGGTCTCACAGGCCATACTACTGTTTGACTGAATTCTTTGTCAAATACATTAAATGTTTTTGCTCTATCATCTCCCACCCACCCAAAACTATCACTTTTCCCTTTTCCTCTCTCCCAATAATGTTGTAACACTTCTTAACTGGGTGATCTTCATTTTGTCCTTTTAAACTTATCCAATAATTTACCATGATCTGCTGTCTTCTAATACATAATGGCATCTCTCCTGACTCTACTTGTAACGCACATACTGGAGTAGATTTAACTACCCCTAAGCAAATTCTCAAAGCTCTTGCTTGAATAATATCCGATTTGTTTAACCTAGTTTTGCTTGCTGATCCATACACCACACTCCCATAATCTATTCTAGATCGAATTAATGACACATAAATATTTTTAAGTGTTTCAAAGTTTGCACCCCATGTCAACCCTGTCAAACACCTCATAATGTTAAGAACCTTTTTTACTTTTTTCCATAATGTGATCTATATGACTTTCACAAGTTAGTTTCTTATCAAAGACTACTCCCAAAAAACGAAAACTATCAACCGTTTCTAATTCTTTCCCATATAAATATAATTTTTTTTATCAATTCTAACTTTCTTATTTGTAAAGAACATTACTTTTGTCTTCTCAATTGAAAATTTAAAACCCCACTCAATTCCCCACTTACCTACTATATCTATACCTTCCTGAAGTTTTAAAATAAGATGTTCTATATTTCTTCCCCTTTTCCATAATGCTCCATCATCAGCAAATAGTGATTTCCCAAAACTAACTGGTATTTTATTAAAAATATCATTTATCATCACCGAGAATAATATTGGACTTATCACACTTCCTTGAGGAGTTCCATTTTCTATTTGACATGATTTTGAAACATGAGAACCTATTTTAACTTGTATATTTCTATCACATAAAAAAACAAACATATCCAGTTAAACATACTCCCTCCTATTCCTATCTGGTGTAGTTTAATCATTAATCCTTCCCTCCATAACATGTCATATGCTTTTCCACATCAAAAAACACAGCCACAACAGTTTCCTTATTAGTTTGAGCTTTTCTAATATCATCTTCTAAACACAATACAGGATCCATTGTTCCTCTCCCTCTACGAAAGCCACTCTGATACGGAGCAATTATATTCCTTGATTCCAAATATTGTACTAGCCTCTCATTCACCATCCTTTCCATCAGCTTACATATATTAGATGTTAAAGCAATCGGCCTATAGTTTTCAGGATTACTATGATCTTTCCCAGGTTTCCAGTTTGTCACCTGCTGCCGAGATCGCCTCAAAACCTCCCCGCGATCGACCGGTAGATCGCGATCGACGTATTGAGCACCCCTGGTTTTAAGTCTTTGAGTTTCACTTATGATGCTTCTTGAGTTAAAAATGTTAGGACTTACTATCAACTAAGCACATAATAACTAATTATTATTTTCTCCTTGGAATGGAAGAATTTTTTTTTGCATTATTGTCTTTTACTTGAATCCTCACACAGAAAAAAAAAACACACACACTCGCGCACGCACGCACACGTACACACACAATGAGTAACCTGACATGCGGATATGAGCTCATAAAAGAAACAAAAACTCCGCATTTCGCCATAAATCATCAGAAAAAGCTAAATTATCATGTTCCTATTTGCACAGACGGTTAAAGACCAACATAAATTCAGTGTGTGTGCTTGTTACCTTCGCTGTGGCATCAGTCATTTGTGGACACGGACTGCTCAACACCTCCTAAAGCTTGTGAGCGTTTCCTCGAATGGGCACAAAAACGCTGCACACGCTCAGCCCACGAACGGCTCTGCATGGCTGAGATTCCCTGCGTGTTTGTTTGCTTGTTTTTTTGTTTTTTGTTTTTTGTTTTGTTTTCTTGCGTGGCTGAATAAGATGATTACAGAGATAAAAGCCACACAAACGTCCAGATTTACACCATTCAACCCCACACGGCTTAGCTCTGCTTATGCGGTCTCCCATTGGCTATCAGACAGTGACGCATAAGGAAGAGGGCTTCAACGTTTCAGATATGTACATTAAAAAAATAAATATATATATACAGATACATATATATGTATATTTTGGTTTAATTTAGATATACAATAGTTTTTGTTTAATGTAAACAAGACGCGTTTTATTAGAAATGCAAAATGCAAAAGGGAAAGAAATGGAGGCAAACATGTAGCTGTACAGCTCTTTACCACTGGAGGTCGCCCTAACACTTCTATGCATCAACACGAATTGATGTTTGGATCCAGGAAGAGGCGGACTTAAGACTCTCAGTGAAGTCATAATTATAAAAAATATAAAAAAATAAAAATAAACAGAATACACGTAACATTGAGGATCGCCTGTCAGGTTTTAAATACCTTTCTTAATAACAGCTTTTAAGATAATATATTTCTGTATTATTTCCAATGGCCTGGGAAAAGTCTTGTGTGTAGGCAGAAGATAATCACACACACAAAAAACACACATTGACAAAAGGTTGCAAACATCAACTATTCGATACATTAAGGTTAATAAACCTTAACCTTAAGTTTCAATAATATTCCGATATATTGAGTATGACAATCGGTTTGACCTGTCAGACATTATAGAAGAAGTGAGGTTTCTTAAATTATTATTTTTTTATCATTATGTTTTTTTACATGTTAAACGGTTTTTTGCATGAAAAAGCTCCATGTAAAGCGGACCACAGGTCAGACTCTGAGCTATTTGCATTATTTGAGGAGCCTGCGGCCGCCTCGTTACTTCCTCACGCCGACATCGCTTGTGCGCAAAGTTGCAACACCAGAACACAGACAGCCACTGGATCGCTCTCAACTGGGTTAAGAGGAAGCGTGTACTGCAGAATAATCACAGTAAGATTTCAACTCTTTTTTTTTCTGTGTTCGAGCTTTATTTGGAGATGTGGCCTTTGAAAACATGCTTAAGAATGATGCTAATTGTATTCGGATAATCTTCTTCCGATAAGCGAACTGGAGGTTGCATTTGTTTCTGCAATAGACAGATGCAGATGTAATTTAGCCAATCTATGAGACTTGTCTTTTTCTTCTTCTTTTTTCATTTTTTTTAATGCTGTCAAACAAACAAGACCTTATCCAAACATCATTATCTATTATTTATTATCTATTATATTAGCTTCCCATCAACAAGTGAGGCAGTTTTCTTAAACTCGCGAGATTTCATTTTTGAAGTCCACAGCTGTTCTGGAACAGACATTTTAAATGCGCAGGGTTAGTGTTGGTGTCTTTATGACATATAATGTAGACACATATTTTCATCTCATTATGTTTTCACTCTGAAGCTCGTCACATTTCTGTATGTTCTGTGTCTCAATAAAAGTTAAGTTTGCAGAGGTGTTTTTTATTTTTTATCATCAGGGCCACCCCATGGAAACTATACTACACTATCCACCCAGGAGCCACTTGAACAAAGATTGCCATTAGAAGTTATCTATTTTAATGCCAAAATGCATTTAGCATGTTTTGCACTTAGCCAAACAATAATATCAAAAGGCGATCAACAGAAGAGTTGAAACTTTATTTGCATCATTTGCTGCTTTTTTACAAATATATTCACACTGAACAGCTATGGTAAAGTCTTATTTGTGGTCCATTCACTGATCAGAAAAACAGATCAGTGATTTTTGGTTATCAGATCAACTGCAGGCTAAGTCGGCTGTAGAATCTTCTACTTACCCAGAAGTAGCAGATTTCCAACAACTGAAACTCATCCCTTCCTCTTTATAGGGAGGGAAGTTACAGTCTACAATGTCATCTATCTCCATTTATGTATTTCTGTCATGTCATTTTGATATTCCTGTCATTGTTCTCCAGATGCGTTTCACCTGCAGATGGGGCCTTAAAGTGATTCCATTTCTTGCTTTGTTGCTAATTGTCCTGCCAGCTGTCCTCTATTACTTCTGGAGCCCAACAAACACTTCAGGAGTCAATATACAAGCAAGACAAAGCAGCCGAATCCAAAAGCTGCTCATTGAGAAAAGTCAAGGCATCATGACTAATTATTCTGACATTCCCTACAAGATCAAAGAAAATGTGGCAAGGTGTCAATGCTAGTACTTTTTCCTTTAACTGTAAATTCATCTTTTCATCCTTGCTCATTTTCTTTAACTTCTCCCTCAGTCAGTTGCCTCAGAAAGCATGTGTGTGCCAGGTCGGAGAGAAAGCCTTTCATTTACCATTCTCCAATCCACTCTTCCCTCGTGTTTGGGCTCACAACCTTCAGCAGGCGTTCTTAGAAATGCAATCTGATCCCGAGGCTGTACAGCAACAGAGAGCAGAGGAGTACCTCCAGTTTTTGAGAAGGTAAAAATAAAAGACAATGAGACTCAAACCACCCCCTTCTCTAAAAATCTCAATGCGCAATGTGTGCACTGAAGAATTTGGGATCCAATTTAAACTTGTTTAAACTAATATGCGGCACCAGATGTTGTGGAAAAATATTAACAGTTTGATGTGTTAACATCAAACTGTTAATAGATCAATAGGGACTGTCTGATCAACATGGCAAGACTGTCTGACACACAATCAGGCTGCATGTTGTTTTAGAGAAAGTCACACACCAGTGAAAGGGGAAGCATTTCAAACTGTAGCTAGTTTTTGCAAGTAATTTGAGCCTGAGAGGGTTAAAACTGTGGTTGAGCTCAGTGCTCAACCACAGATTGAGCACTGAGATATGAAACTCACAAAAATAGCTCTTAACCACAGCAACATGAAAAACCAGACTTCAACACTTTGATGATCTTTTAAGAAAATTTTGTGTTTCTCTCCCAAAATAAAAAAAAAATAGGATATTCAAGGTCAAATTATGATGAAATAATGAAGAAAGTAGAAAATTATTCTTAAATTTATCATTTTAGAAAAAGGAACTTTATTGCATGTCATTATTTTATTAATCTGATCAGTTAATAGTATTGCTTTGCACTAGTAATTGATGGAAATGCTTGAGTCACATGTAAATTGAAACTTTCTGTGCCCTGTGTGGATGCATTTCTGCTATCAGTGTGGAAGCATGAGTAAGCTAACTGCGTTAGTGTTTAAAAAAAACAGCTGAACAGGTTGTTCAGCCTGTTCAGCTGAACAACCTGTTTTTTTTCTCCATTTGTCTTTGCGTGTAGGTCCCACACTCCAGCAGACATGCTCGTCATTGCCGAGGCTGGCAATCCTCTTCAGTATCCTACCCAAGGTGTGAAGGTGCAACCCCTCAAAACAATAATCATCCCAGGTAATAATACTAAATTGCATGTGATAGTGTCAGAAACTGAGGTATAAACAGTGCGTCTTAATGTCCCATCTTGAGTTCACTGGTGAACTTATTTCCATCTTCTGCTCCAATAACGCGTTCTATCCACATCACCACTCTCTCCACAGGTCTGGGTCTCAGACTGGAAGGCAGAAAAAGCTATATAGTAACTATTTTTTTTTACTTTTTATTTTTTTTACACAGATTATGTGGCTTATACTTTTTTAAAAATCTTGTCTAAAAACAGGTAAATTTGACAGCGACAATGGGGACTTTTGACGTTGCCGCCACAGTGGACAGGGTCTCTGTAAAAGGAATGGGTGAAAAGCATATTTCACTGTCGAGTCCGGCTCTCTATGCTCTGAACAGGCAGCTCCAGTTTGTCACTTTTACCAGCACCATATTTCATCCGATGACATCGGACCTAGGTAAAGTTCACATTCCAACATCATGACACTGTGTCAGGAGCGATTTTTAAAACAAAATGGAGGAAAGAGTCCAAATTTTCCAAAATTTACGTTCACATGTACAGCATTGAGGCTTTCGCTAAGACTCTGCACTTGATATGTGTGAAACTCTAACAGAAATTGCTTTGTGTTTATTTCAAATGTAATTGAACATGGGCATGGTTTGTTAATGTAGAGGGAAACATGTACGCAGAAACGTTTCACCATAGCTAGGACGATAATCTGATTGGTTAGAAGATTTTGAGGTGCGTTCACTTCACTCTAAATTCTTGACCATGATACTAACTATGCAGGAAATATGAGTAAGAATAATTTGTTTTGCCTTCAATTCTTTAATAAGCTCATTGCCTCTTATGTACTTTCACTTATCAGCTTTTGCTTCATCCGGCAGTTCAGTTGGCGACTGAAGGCCACCAGTCATTTTTCACCATCAAGGTGGGACACAGAGTTGCTCCCAAACTTTACAACTCTGGACAAAGTAAAGGTTTGTGAGCACTTATTGACATATTTCATTAGCAATTCATTTTTTATATAGTAGAATGCATTTTATCATGTTTATTACCTGCTTTGTTTCTGTTGTCACTCAGGGTACAACATTACCTCTCTGGTTACCATCGCTACGAAGACCTTTTTGCGCTACGACAAACTCAAAGATCTCATCGCCAGCATAAGGGAGTTTTATCCCACCATCCTCATAATTATAGCGGACGATAGCGAACACCCCCAGCCAGTGACCGGCCCTCATATTGAGCAATACATTATGCCATTTGGAAAGGTAAAATGTTTGCTTGATCCAATGTATAATGATTCAGTCAAAAATAACTCAATTTCTCTGTGTAGGGTTGGTTTGCAGGAAGAAATCTGGCAGTGTCCCAAGTGACTACCAAATATGTGCTCTGGGTGGACGACGATTTTATCTTTACTGCAAACACCAAACTGGAGAAGATGGTGGACATCCTGGAGAAAACCACGCTGGATCTGGTAAGCTGGTCCAAACAAATCAGCTGCTCTGATTTGTTCATTTGTCATATTTATTATAGCATATTTTTCAAAGCCTTCTTTCAACCCTTCAAACCTGGGCAATACACCGGCCCAGATTAGAGGGGCTGAAAAAATGCAAACGTCCATTTCTGTACTTCATGTCAGGTCATTTGCCCAATACACACCTAGAGGAATTTGATTGTTTTCCAGGAAACGTTTAGAAATGTTATGTTTTGTAAAGTTTTGTTGTTTACAAAACATTATCCTAATTTTTTTTCTTTTGTCAGTGTATATTTGTGTTTAAAAAATATAAATGACACCACTGACTATTGTATTTAAGAAAGAGCAAAGGGCTTGGATCTGTGTAATTTCTACCTGTCTGTTGAATCCATATGAACCTCAAATTGTTAGGAGGCCAAGAATCAAGTCACAACTTTCTTTTTGATCTCTGACTAGCTATCTAGGCATTAACTCTTCTTTAGAAGTTGTTAATGATTTTGTCCTTTAATTAAAATACAAACTTCCACATTCTCACACTCTGCTACAGCATCCTGCTGTAGAACATAGAAATTTCCACACCATAATGTGAGTTATTTTCAGAAAAATAAACTTAACTTGACAGGTATGGCTTGTTGTCGGGTATCTGAAAGTTATGACTCAAGTCAAACGGTTTAAAATGCTAACGAAATGTATTTAAATTTCTGAAATTTTAGAAGTTGGTTTATATCTTAGCCTATACAAACTCAAGAATATCGCAAATAAATGCGATATTCAGATAGTGTGCACATTTAAACAGCACTGATCCTACCAGACTGTCTATCTTTTCTTGCTATTTTTTTTTCTTTCATTTAGAGAATAAAAGAACAAAATTAAAAAAGTTAACTTATCTATCTTTCTCTTTTCTGCATAAACGTCAGGTTGGTGGCGCGGTCAGAGAGGCTACTGGTTACACTACCACATTCCGTCACACCATTTCAGTGGAAGAAGGCGGAAAGGAAGGCGACTGTTTAAACATCAGGAACGGATACCACCATGCTATTGAGGGATTTCCCAACTGTGTGGTAGCAGATGCCGTCATCAACTTCTTCTTGGCTCGAACGGACAAAGTTCGGCAGGTTGGCTTCGATCCGCGCCTGTCAAGAGTAGGCCATCTAGGTCAGAGGCCTTTAATTATGTCAATGTCTTCGAATAAAGCTTTAAATACACCCATAGCTTATTTTTTGCCTTTTGTTTCTGCAGAGTTTTTTGTAGATGCCCTGGGCACCATGCACATCGGCTCCTGCAGCGATGTCATCATTAACCACGCGTCAAAGATCAAGCTGCCATGGACTAAAACAGAAACACAGAAGGCCTATGAGCAGTTTCGATACTCTTCTAGAAAAACAGGGATTGACCTGAATGAGATCTTTTACTTTAAGAACAGATTCAAGTGCATGACCAGACAATAAAAACACACTTGCATTGGTTTCATGAAAACAAATAGTTGTCGCTCTTGGTTGAGAGATATTTTGTCTTTTTTCTGCTGACAACTGGATTTTTTTTTAAACCACCTGTTGTGATGTTAACAAGCCAGTCGGTTCTTGTTGTTTGAAACAATCCTCATTTTTTTGCAATTTGTTGACCGTTTTCACATGTTTTCTTTTGAAGTAAACATTTGAATTTGGAAGGTAATTTTGATGCTAATTGCTCTGAGTTAGTCATTTGAATTTCATACAGGCTTTGTGTCCTTAATATGTATTTTGCGCGTAAATGGGCTATTATAAGTTGTCATGACACATGATCCTCTAGAGGAGAGAATATATTTAATGTGTGTACCAAAAAAATGAATAAAGAAAACGCTAACCTTTTTTTTATGTTAATGCACGTTACAGATTTTGGTATAGCATCTATAGAGGTTGCAACAATAATAAACAGTTCTTGTGACACATCAATGATAGCACAAGTGGTTCTTAGTCTAGTGTCTCATTTAATTGATTACAGCGCTCAGTTTACATACATCCTGGGAAACCAAAGGTCACTCAACGCTTACGTCAGAAGCCAGAAAACATGCTGTCATCATGCATCACTAATAAATATGTTTATTGTTCGTAATAATAAATTCCACAAAATGTCACGAAAGTCCACATTGTGCTCTTATTCCCAATTCACCAAATTATTTGTATTTTTTACGTCATAGAAAAATGTCAGGTGTCCAAACGTCATTATTACGCTAGATCAGTGTTGTCTTCGCCCTGCAAGTTTTAGATGCCTCCCTGCTTCAACCACACATGCTTTCAATTAATGACTGGTTAACAGGCTTTTGTTGAGCTGCAGTCATTTGAACCAAGTCTCTGAAATGAGGGAAACATCTAAAAAAGAAAACAATCAAATAAAATACAGGGCAGTGCGCGGTCAGGACACTGCCCTGTATCAGATTAAGAGATGAAAACATTTGAAAATCTGACATTAAATGAATGTAAAATTTAGAAAGCGTTTAAAAGTCAAGTGACGCTTCGTTCGTAGAAAAAATAAAAAATAATAATAATAATTACAATGTTTCGCCACCAGAGGGAAACAAAAGATCATGTAAATGTCTGCAGTATATTTGGACAAATTGTTTGCAAGCGATTGGCTATCGGATGGAGGGACATTTAAGATTTCCTTATTTTATCTTCCTTTTTGTCACTTTGTGGTAGAAAACATTGGCTGCAACTCTAATATCTTCATTTCTACCGTCATATATGCGGCCATTTGGTAATTTGAAGTATATCTCTATATATAGATGCTGTCGGGCTATTGCCTGCCAGAGTTTATTTAAATGACAACTCAAGTCTTCACTCTTCAAGTCTGAGATTTGCTGAGGATTTTGCAGGGTTGTTTTTAAAATTCCCCTCCATGTGTGTTCACGTCAGTAGGTCTTACTGTCGAATCTGGCTTAATGAACATTTGGCCAGATACTCGTGCATCATGTCCTAATTGAAGTGGACTACTTCCTGCCAATTAGTGAAACACTCCTTGAGCTTTAAAGGGAAAACCCCAGCGGGTACAGCGTCAGGAGGATTACTTAAAATATGCCGAGGAGAAAAAAAAGAAAAAGAAATAATGTGGTCAACTTAGTTATCAAACACACCTCAAGGACATAGTTATTTATTTGCTTGCTTTATTTGGTGTTGAACTCAAAACTGGATGCAGTTTCATCAGGCTCAACGTATCAGGTTTCAGCAGGGTGGTGAAGGTATCCCGATGTTGGCCAGCAGAGGGCAGCAACGTGGCAAGAAAAAGACCTTCCATCATGGAAGGTTTTGACTTGATTTGACCAACTTTTGAGAAAATAATAGTTGGAAGGAAATCTGATTCTTGTGACTCTCTTTACACTGTATCTTTAATCAGATGCAGAGTGGATCTAATTACTCTGTTTTAGTCTCTGTCAGATGTTCCATATTGAAACCAGTTTTTTTTTTGTTCTTCATTTTTCAAATCCGAGGCATGATTTTTATCATTATTTACCCAAGTGCGTACAAAGACACCTCCTACTCCCACTTCAAAATTTGACAAGGCTGGCATGGTTCACATACTACACCACCCTCCATTTCAATCCCCGGGGGAAAAAAAGTTTTCCAGGGGAAAATATATTTTCCTAAATTTCTTCCAAAATATAGAAAGAAATCCACATTTGATTATGCATTGACTGTAATTCCTGTGTGAAGATAAAAAGAACAATCACTGGCTACTGGATGGTTATGTAAAGATCGTACATGGAGTGCGGTGTATTTGTATCGAACTCTCCCTTTTTCTGCAATTTCCTGGAAGAAAAAGGGGGGAAAAAATACATTTTTCTGCAACCCTAAACCCCCAGCTTTGCACATAGAGACAATACATATTTTTCCCACTTTTTTGTCCAAAATAGATTCGAGAGTGGATTTAAGTCCAGACGTGGACGAGCCCTTTCTTTCACATGAATATGTTTTATTCTCAGACCATTTAATTCTATCGCTGTTCAAGGTTTATTGTCCTGTTAAAAAGGGTAAGCTCCACCAAAGTATCTTAAAGCCTCTCTCACAGGTTTTTCTTCAGATTTGTCCTGCATTTGAGTCCATCCATTTTCCCACCATTTCTGGCCGGGTCCTCTGTCCCTGCTGAAGGTTGCCCACGGCATGATGTTGCCACCACCATCATTAATTGAACTTTACACAGTTGTTATACTGTAATGTCATCCAAACCTGCTGGAATCAATCAACATTTTATAGAACATTTTACACTTTACCCTGAGTGACCAAAGAGATCCATAATTGAAAACATGATCAATAAATCACAAACAGACAGATTAAAAGAGAGAAGGAAAGATCAACTTAAAAAAAGAGACAGAATGCAGACAGCTGCTGAACTGGCAAGTTAAAAAGATGGGTGTTCAAAAGGGCCTTAAAATCATTCAAAGTATTAGCCATCATTCCAATAAGGAGATTATTCCAGAGTGTGAAAGGATGCTTGTGTAAAACCTCTGTTACATAAATGAGGTGTCAGACTACTTAAACATTTAAAGACCAAAATAAAAATCAACCCTAAAACATACATGCATCCAGTGCAATATGGAGGAACTGTAACGTTCTGGAGTTGTCACCTATAAGCAGGCGGGCAGCAGCGTCTTGGACCAGCAGCGGACGATTAACAAACATGGAAGAAATTCTTCAGTGCACGTGGTATTTTATTACATAAAGGTAGCTAACAACAAACATATAAATATTACAATGCCAAAATACAGAATACATATGACTGTAAAAATGAAATCTTAAAGAATAGAAGTCCAGAAGAGTTCCACAGTGTTGAGGAACTGCATCTCCTTTAGCTAAATCCAGCTTGGATCGATTTAAGTGTGCCAGCAGGGAGTGTGATATCTGAAAAAGAACGGCCAATGCTGAAATATAACCATTAAAAATACTACATGCTGCTCCGACAGGCCGCTGTGTCTTTGAATCACTCCCCTACTGTAAAGTCCAAACCAGCTGCTCTTCTGCTCCAGCCGATGTCTCAGGGCACAGAAACTGGCCTGTTGGTTCATACCCAAACCGTTGTGGTGTTCTCTGGAGGTTTTTCCTATGCCAGAGGATAACATTGTTATTTGAACGAGAAAATAATTTATTCTCTGGTTATATTGAAAGCGATTGCGATTTGTACCCTCTGCTGCTGAATGTGCATTACGGCATCGTGAACGGTGACGAAAATGTGCTGAGGATTCATGTGACTCATCAGGCCGCTTGATGTCAAGATCTTTAACACACTCTCTAGAGGGAACCAGATAAATCCACACACACTTAACACATTTAACCCAACCTATGCTGGAGCACAACCAGAAAAGAAATGTATGACAGAAATATCTGACATTAAAAAGGTTTACCATTGCAATTTGCCAAATAGACATGAACTCCAATTTTCTGGCACTCGGTGCACATCTGCAGGGAGAAAATCACATTGCGTGACCAAATCACGGGAGGGAGCCGTGTCCTTTTGTTAAAGGCTGACCTGTGTGAAGAGCCTCGCTCCAGCAACATCAACAAATATGACACTGCTGCAGTCAATTAGCACGGCCTGGACCTCTTTCTCTGATGTTTCTGTAAGGTGCAAACGCAGTTTCTTAATGTCTCCTGTGCAAGCACATCCAAACTGAGTGATTTCACAAAGCAGCTACGAACCTGATTCGAAGAACTCATTTACTGAAGAAAACGATGTGTTTGCTATGCCTCTCTCCTAAACAACAGCACAGGGAGAAAACAAGAAGACGGCTGAATTAAGTTGCATTTCACAGTTTATAAATATGTCACATTTGTCCAATCTAATGGTTATTAATGACTCATACCACAGTGCTGACAGAGGCCTCTCGCTCTCGTTTCTCCAACGCTTTCCGGGCCTTTTCCCGACTGCGGATCTCTTCGGGCGTCAGACCCAACACCCTGCTCATTTTCTCCCTGAAGAAGCTCCGATTGCCATAGTAGATGGGCCCGTTGTATGTCAAGATTTTCACACCAGGCACTTCATAGCACTGGATAAGAAAAAAACAACAACAAAACCCCCCAAACAATGCCACATCTTTAATGTTTCAATAAAATCCTCTCAGATTAAGGGTTATGGTGCTGGAATTGATTCCTTTTAATGGAATTTTTTCAGACACGTTCACCTCAACCTTTAGTGCACTGACCATTTGTAACAAGTGAAAGAATTACAAGCTCTACTCACCTTGCTGTGGCTCTCCAGAGGTCTGTATATTTCTGTGTTGCTCGCCCGCCCAAGAACTGAGCAATCAGCCCTGTTAAGGCATTGATCATCTGTTTACACTTGTATCAAGTTCATGTATTCACACTCACACAACCTTTTCAGTTTGTCACAGTTTTAAAGGGACTTCTAATGGTTGTCTTATCCTAACTGTGCTGTGGATTTTTGAATCTCCATTGGCCTGTGATCCATCCCCTTCTTTTTCCATTTTAGTTGGACGGCCATGTTTTAACCCTTTTTTGTACAGAAGTTCAAAGCTTTTTATATTGCTTTATAACCTAACCCTGCACACAAGTGGACTCTATTCAATAGGTAATTTCTGGAGGTAGCTACTTGAACTGGACTTCATTTTGGGAGATTCATAATAAAGTTGCTCATCAGAAATTAATTTCATGTTATTCCAGATACAATTTTTGAAAAAACAAGGTCACGCATACCTTTAGCAACATGGAAAATCTCAACAGAACACATCAGAGGTTGCAGTTCTAGCTTGGTTGAAACAAGCACTGAGCCTGAGTTCCTGGAATTAACAATGATACTTTCTGACAGAAAAAAAAACACCTTTGTGTTCGACAGATGACGGTCATCATGGAGAAAACCACGCCGATGGCCAGGCCAAGGTCCACGTTCAGAACCACCACAGACAGCCAGGTTACAACCCAAACCGTCTAAAGACAGAGGCAACATC